CCACACAACAACTTGAATACCGCCTCTGGTGGGAAGCTCGGTGCATGTCATCTTAGAAGAGCTCTCATTGTCTGAAACTAAGCCCAGAGCTGCCTCCCTGTGACCTGTGAAGTCCCATTCGTTCATACATGCATTCAGTTGATATTTATTGAGCACCTGTTCTGTGCCAGGGCCTGTGCCAGGGTCCTTGTCTTCAAGGAGCTCAGACTCTAGAAGGGAAAACGTAAGAAAACAGACAAGTATCATGTACTGGCACTGAGTTACACCCAAGGTTAGTCTTGGAGAAGTAAGGGCACATACAGGCGCCCAGTCCCCTCTGGCTGGTGGGGGTGGTATGGAAGGGACAGGTTTGCTAGGACCTGAGGATCAGCTGTGCTGAAGGGAGGTAAGGGGAGGAGTGTTTCTGGTTGAGGGAACAGCATGAGCAAAGGCCCAGAGGTCAGGAGGAGCATGGCCCCTTTGGGAAATGAAGCAGAATTCCATCTGCCGGGTGCACTGGGCGGGAGGGAGAGGCGGAGAGAGGTGACGCTCATCGGAGAGGCAGGGCCCGATCCCACCGCAGGTCTTGGGAGTTGGGGAGACGCAGGTGGGACCCCTGTGGGGCTTCTCCGGTGTGAGCCAGGCCCAAGGCAGGAGAAACCTGGGTGCCCCCAACAGGCTTGCCTTGGGGCAGAGAGGGGCAGAGGGCAGAGCCATCCACAGGGCGGCTGAGGGCAGCAACGTGGCTGAGAGCATGGCTGTGACCAAAGGCCAGAGAAACAGACTCTCTGTACCCCTGACAGAAGGACACCGCCTCGGGGTCTTGCCAAAGGGGTTCAACTTGAGTCTGATCGCGCCCTGGAGCCAGCGGGCAGTTGGCAGGACACTCAGAGACCAGCGGGACGAGGGGTGGTACAGTGAGCATTTCATGGGCAAAATCCGACTGGGAAACTCCACTGGTCAAATGGCTTCAATTCTTCAACAGATAAATGACAAGAAAAACTAAGAGATGGTAGGAGAACTTGTAGGTTAAAGAGACTTAAGAGGTATCAAGTTAGAAAAAAAATGGGCCTACCCAGTGACTATGGTGAAAAAAACACAAAGAAATTATTCCTGTAAAAGTTCAAATAGCAGTTGCTTGCAGAGAGTGGAGGGAAGGGCCGTCATTGGGAGAGGACACAGAGAAGGGGGTGTCAGACAAAGTTCTATTTCTTAACCCTGGTGTTAAGAAATATAAGGGGTCTTAGCTGATTTGGCTCACTGGATAGAGCATTGGCCTTCAGACCGGTCCCTGTTTGATTCAGTCAAGGGCATGTACCTCGGTTGCAGGCTCTTTCCGGGGCCTGGCCTGGGCCCTGGTCAGGCGCATGTAGGAGGTAACCAATCCATGTGTTTCTCTCTCATCCATATGTTTCTCTGTCCTTCCTCTCTCTAAAAATCAATGGGAAAATTGCCTTGGGTGAGTATTAAAAATCTACACTAATAAAAGACAAAGATGCTAATTGACTGTACCTCTGCTATGCCC